AACAAACAAACAAGCAAAACACTTTCTAATTTCATTGAAAACTAGTGACTATTGTTCAGTGCACAAAGTGCAATACATGGAGCTTGCACTGTTTGAGAGCACAAGAGGGGAAGGGCAGGCACCTTAATTGGCAGTAGAGGGTTGGGGGGAGACTATGAAAGAAAACCTTAGGGAGTTTCCAAAGATAAGTTAGCAGTTAGGTACACAAAGTTGTGTAGGAACCAGGGATAAAAAGTATCATGCTGTTCATTCATATAATATTCTTTGAGAGCTGACCATGCCCCAGGCACTCTGCAAGGCACCAGTGATAACAGCAGTGAGTAATAATAATGGCTAATTTTTATTGAGCACCTCCTGTGTGTCAGGCACTATGCTAAGTGTTTTATAGGAACTGTTTCGTTTAACCTCACAACAGTCCTGTGAAGTATGTGCTCTTAAAATTATCCCTGTTGTACTGATAAAGTTAAATAACTTGCCCAGGGTTGCACAGCTCTTATACTGTAGAGTTAGAATTTAAACCCAGGTAGCTGACTGCAGAGCCCTTGTCTAAATTGAAAAGACAACCAGGTAGGTTTCTGCTTCATGGATGGCATCATGTATGGGGGAGATACTCACTGAATATGGAAACAGGATAATCTCAAGTAATGAAAAGTGCAATGAAGATAAAAACAGATATGTCATAGAGATGGAACAGACTACAGTATTGTGTGCACTGCTTCAGATAGCAGATTAGGTGTGACCTTTCTATGGACCTAACAGGCCTGAATGATGACAAGAACTCAGCCACACTAAGAGCTGGGGCAAGAGCCTGCCAGGAACAGAGAATGGCAAGACCAGTGACACTGAGTTGGGACTGAGTTTGGCCAGAGTGATGGAGGGTGGAAGGAAGGCCACTGTGAGCCAGCCTTCAAGTGGTACAAAATGCATCGGAGAGACTGGCAGGAACTGGAGATGTGATTCTGTCCAAAACTGTAACACAGTAGCCCGTAGACCTCTAAGACTGCAAATGCAGGCATTCATGATTACAGGGATTTTTGTTCCTGTTGCTGGTTTGGGGAACATGGTTTTGGCCTTTTGTCTTTTAATTTATTTTTTGGATATGTTATCTGAATTATTTCTTGTTTGTATGCTCTCAGGTTCCTGGAAGGTGATGTGAAAGATCATTGTGCAGCAGCAATCTTGACTTCTGGAACAATTGCCATTTGGGATTTACTTCTTGGTCACTGCACTGCCCTCCTCCCACCTATCTCTGACCAAAACTGGTCTTTTGTGAAATGGTCAGGTACAGACTCTCATTTGTTGGCTGGACAAAAAGATGGAAATATATTTGTATATGACTACTCATAAGTTAGGGTAAAGCAGAAACACAATTTTCTGGATATATTTGACCTCAGTATTTTTTGGAGTTTGAAATATAAAGGAGACTATCTGAATGACATTTAAAATAATTACTTGTATATGTCCAGATAGACTTATTTTTATTTTTTATTCTGATGAAGGTGGCACCATTGATCTTGGATCTACATTTATGTTTACTTTGAGAAAAAGGGCTTTAGGTTGATTTTTGTAATTCCTCACATTTGCACATGTGCTTTTAAAGGTGTACATAAACTTTCAAATGGCAATAAATACTTATTTGTATACATTCGGCTTGGCATATTATTGTTTCCCATTATTTCAAGATAACTTTCAGAAGCAAGAACTAATTATTGTACAACTAGGATATTTAATCAGTAGGATTTGCCCAGTAAGTGTAAATTTCAGTTCAGTTAACTTACTACACTAATATGCAGTATACTTTTTGTGCTATTTGTAATACTTTATTTTTACGTACTTACTAAAATAATATGAAACCTATTAAAATATCCTAATTTAGGAATACTCTTATTCTTTTTCATTCTCTCATGCATCCTTCATGGCAGTGCTGCATTATCACTAGAGTCACTTTTTTTTGAGACAGAGCCTCACTCTGTCACCCAGGCTGGCGTGCAGTGGCATGATCTTGGCTTACTGCAACTTCTGCCTCCCAGGTTCAAGAGATTCTTCTGCCTCAGCCTCCCAAATAACTAGGATTACAGGTGCCCACTACCACACCCAGCTAATTTTTGTATTTTTAGTAGAGACAGGGTCTCACCATGTTGGTGAGAGGGTCTCTCAGGTTGATCTTGAACTGCTGACCTCAAGTGATCCACCTGCCCTGGCCTCCCAAAGTTCTGGGATTACAGGTGTGAGCCACTGCCACTCTGTCAACCAGGCGAGTGCAGTGGGGCAATCATAGCTCACTATAGCCTCAAACTCCTGGGCTCACGCAATCCTCTTGCCTCAGCCTCCTGAGTAACTGGAACTACAGGTGTACTTCACCATGGCCAGCTAATTTTTCTGTTTTTTAAGAGATAGGGTCTCACTGTGTTGCCCAGGCTGATACTGAACTCCTGGCCTCAGGCTACCTTCCTGCTTCATCCTCCTGAGTAGCTATAGAGTCACTTTTGAGTCAATAACACAGCTTTACTGAGTACATCACCTTCACCTTTGCCTAAGTGATTTGAGAGAATTTTTTACCAAGACAGGAGTCTTGCTCTGTCACCCAGGCTGGAGTGCAGTGGCACAATCTCAGCTCACTGCAACCTCTGCCTCCCGGGTTCAAGCAGTTCTCTTGGCTCAGCCTCCAGAGTAGCTGGGATTACAGGCACATGTCACCACGCCTAGCTAATTTTTGCATTTTTAGTAGAGATGGGTTTTACCATGTTGGCCAGGCTAGTCTTGAATGCCTGATCTTGTGATCCACCCACCTCTGTCTCCCAAAGTGCTGGGATTACATGTATGAGCCACTGTGCCCAGCAAGAAATTGTTAAAGTACTAATCGGTTGTAATCATTGGAAATTTTTTTTGAGACTAAGTCATGCTCTGCGACCCAGGCTGGAGTGCAGTGGTACAATCTCAGCCCACTGCAACCTCCGTCTCCTGTGTTCAAATGATTCTCCTGCCTCAGCCTCTTGGGTAGCTGGGACTACAGGCATGTGCCACCACAACCAGCTAATTTTTGTATTTTTAGTAGAGATGGGGTTTCACCACGTTGGCCAGGCTGGTCTCGAACTCCTGACCTCAGGTGATCTGCCTGTCTCGGCCTCCCAAAGTGCTGGAATTAGTGGCGTGAGCTACTGTACTCAGCCGATCATTGGAAATTTTATCCCAAGCTGTAAGTATTTTTGCCTAACATTCTTAGTGTTGGGAGCAGTAGGGACGGCACGTTTGCCGGGGATCTCTCGACCTGCAAGAGGGTCCCAATGCCTGGAAGAGAGAGTGCGCAGAAATAAAGAGAGACAGAAAGCGGGGTCTGGAGGGCTGAGAAGGCACTGCCTAAACAGCAAGTTTATTCTTGTCCAGGGTCTCAAAAGTAAATGACATCATCCTCACAGTATGTGAAGAACAATAAAAGGGGACAGAAAGTTACAAAATCAAAAAGTCACAAGTACATTTTGTTGTGCAGGGGGTTTATGATCATAATCACAGTTCATAAAAGTGACCAGGTGGTCACTTTTATCTATTTTTCCAGAAGGGGTCTCTGTTCAGATAATATCAGAAAGTCACAAGCTAAGTCGTTAAACCATTATCTAGGGTACAAGGCAGTCATGCAAGTAAAGCTATTCTTAAAGAAAGAGTCATAAAAGTTAAAAGCAGAAACTGGTTGCTGGTATGGAGTCACTCAGTCTAGCAGAACCGCATAGTTTAGGCCCAAATGTCATCGTGGTTAATAGTAGAAACTGATCATCCATCTTTCAGTTCCTTCTTTCCCATAGCTCGACTGCCTCCAGCAGGAAACTGTGTTTGGGGTCAAGCTCATTGTATAGTGAGACCCACCCCTTTTGGGGGTCTCACACGGGAACGTTCCCCACATCTTAGAATATATTTTTTATTTTATTAAAAAAATTTTTGGCCAGGTGCAGTGGCTCATGTCTGTAATCCCAGTACTTTGGGAAGCAGAGTCCGGAGGATCACCTGAGGTCAGGAGTTTGAGACCAGCCTGGCCAACATGGTGAAACCGCATCTCTACTAAAAATACAAAATTAGCCAGGCATGGTAGCATGGGCCTACAATCCCAGCTATTTGGAAGGCTGAAGCAGGAGAATCACTTGAACCTGGGAGGCAGAGGTTGCAGTGAGCTGAAATGGCGCCATTGCACTTCAGCTTGGGCAAAGAGTGAGACTAAGTCTCAAAAGAAAAAAAATTTTTTTTTTTTTTGCCTATTGTGTGTGTGTGTGTGTGTGTGTGTGTGTGTGTGTGTGTATTAGACAGAGTCTAAAAAACAAGAGTCAAGTCATCCAGGCTGGAGTGCAATGGTGTAGTCTCTACTCACTGCATCTTCCGCCTGCTCCCGCTTCAGCCTCTGGAATAGCTGGGACTACAGGCGCCCACCACCACACTCGGCTAATTTTTGTATTTTTAGTTGAGATGGGGTTTCACTACGTTGGCCAGACTGGTCTCATGACCTTGTTATCCGCTCGCCTCAGCCTCCCAAAATGCTGGGATTACAGGCATGAGCCACTGTGCCCGGCCTCGATAAATGTTAATACCTGTGGAAGAATCATGGAATCAAAACCTTTTTCCCTTCTTTTAATCTTTTTTTGTAATAGAAACGAAGTCTTGGTGTGTTGGCCAGGTTGGTCTTTAACTCCTGAGCTCAAGCAGTCCTGCCTCCTTGGCCTCGCAAAGTGCTAGGATTAAAGGCGTTAGCCACCGTGCCCGGCCCCTAACGTTTAAGTAGATGTATTTCAGAACTTTCAGAGAAAAAGTGATAGCTTTCTCGTGTCAATGAGCAGTGTTTAGGGAAAGACGCGGCATCTGCAGTTTAGTTCTGGCACCAAGCCGATGTTCGCCTACAGTCATGGATGGGCTCTCAGGGCGCAGTGCCTCCAGGAGCCGCCAGGGTCCGCTACTGTCGGCGTTGCCTGACAGCGCCGCTCTGTGCGTCGCCTGCGCGCTGCGGGATAGGAACCCTGGGCGGGAGGCGGGGCGCAGTGCATCCTGGGTCGGCGTAGTCATGGCGTCTCGTGTCCTTTTCTCCTGTGTCCGTCGCCTGCCTGCGGCCTTGGCGCCGCTGCCCCGGGTCTCCCTGCTAGCCGCCGCCCAGCCTTTCAGCACCGCTCTGTGCTCCACAGGGACCCGGACGAGGCCTGGGCCTTCGCAGCCGGCCTCGGTGCTCGCGCAGGTGACTCGCGGTGACTTTGCTGGGGATTGGCAGGGGTCAGGGATCGGCCCCGGTGGAAGTGGAGGCCGGGCACCCCGGCCGCGCCAGCTGCAGCGAGGGTGACAGCCGGCTGCAGGGGGCAGCCGGCTCGCTCCCAGCCCCGCTGTCTAACGGTGTTTAGTTGACCCCTGTCAGGAGGCTGGGTGACCTCGTAATAACGAGGAAGAGCAGAGACTGGGGTCCAGCACCACTGGGTTCCAGTGCTGGCTGCCGCTTACCGAAACTTTGGACGAGTCTTCTATCCTCGCTCACATCTGCAAAACTGGGATCCTGGTCTCTACCTTGCGGAGTCGCAATAAGGATTAGATCAGTTCATGCGGGTAGAGCACCTCCTGCGGTCTCAAAATACTGGTCACCGTGTTGTAGTGGTAACAGCATGCAAAGAGGCAGCCACACTGGCCTACAGCCTTCTCTAGAGCAGTTCTCTTCCTGCAGTTAAGTCCTTACTTTTCCCTGCGGCCACTTTTTGCCTGTGTCCAGGACTCCTGGAAGTAATTCTGGAAAACAAGTACAGGTGTTGTTTAAACAATAAGGATTTGAATTGCGCGGGTTCACTTATAAGCGGATTTTTTCAACCAAATGCGGCCAGTATTTACGGGATGTGCGGCCGCGCATGTAAGGAGGGCTAGCGCTTCCTATCAGTGGATTCTGCAAGGCTGACTGCAGGACGTGAGTGTGTGAGGATTTGGGTATAGTCCGGGGTTCTGGAACCAATTTCCTGCGTTCATACCAAGGAACGACTGCACCTTGTAGTACATAGCTTAAGCTGATGAAATCTGCGTGAGGCTGAAACGCCGGGAGGCAGTGATTTTCAATCCTAGCTGCACATTCAAATTACCTGGGTAACTTAAAAAAAAAAAAAAAAAAGTCTTGCCCTTCCCCCTTCCTCCTGAATTATTCCTCTGGGATGAGGCCCTGGCACGGCTTTTGCTGTTGTCATCGCCGGCGTTGTTTTTTTTGAGACGAAGTCTCAATCTGTCACCCAGGCTGGAGTGGAGTGGCACGATCTCGGCTCACTGCAGCCTCCGCTTCCCAGGTTCAAGCGATTATCCTGCCTCAGCCTTTCCAGCAGCTGGAACTACAGGCACCCACCACCACGCCTGGCTAGTTTTTATGTTTTTAGTAGACACGGGGTTTCACCATATTGGCCAGGCTGGTCTCGAACTCCTGATGTGATCCGCCCACCTCGGCCTCCCAAAGTGCTGGGATTACAGGCATGAGCCACTGCACCCGGCTTGTTGTTGTCAAAATTCTCCAGGTGACTCTGAAATCCAGTTAAGAAGAAAATATGGGCTGGGCGCGGTGGCTCACGCCTGTAATCCCAGCACTTTGGGAGGCCGAGGCGGGTGGATCACGAGGTCAAGAGATCGAGACCATCCTGGTCAACATGGTGAAACCCCGTCTCTACTAAAAATACAAAAAATTAGCTGGGCATGGTGGCGCGTGCCTGTAATCCCAGCTACTCAGGAGGCTGAGGCAGGAGAATTGCCTGAACCCAGGAGGCGGAGGTTGCAGGTGAGCCGAGATCGGGCGAAAACTCCGTTTCAAAAAAAAAAAAGAATGAAAATAACCATCTTAAGGTAGGATAGATTCCCAAGGTCAGGTTATGAAACCCCTTTTCAAAGTCATGGACTCCAGATAATAGTGGTTTCAACCTTGACTGCATGTTAGTGTGAAAAAAAAAGTGTCTGGCCAGGCACATTGGCTCATGCCTGTAATCCCAGCACTTTGGAAGGCCGAAGTGGGTGGATCGCATGAGACCAGCCTGGGTAACATGGTGGAACCCCGTCTCTACAAAAATGCAGAAATCAGCCAAGCATGGTGTCACATGCCTCCTGACTAGTCCCAGCTACTCGGGAGGCTAAGGTGGGAGGATTGCTTGAACCCAGGAGGTAGAGGTTTTAGGGAGCAAGATTGTGCTACTGCACTCCAGCCTGGGAAGCAGATCATCTTAAACAAATAAATAAGCCATCCCAGGCCAAATGGACAGAATCTAGAGGTGAATACTAGGTGACTATTTTTAGAAGTCATCAGATGTTTCTTTTGTGAAGTCAGTGTTGATATTCACTGATAGTTTAATGGATTAATTCATTGGGCATCGCACTATTGGCTGTATCGAAAGATGAAAAGTATCACCTTGAAATTAAGGGTTAAAAAGCAGTAGGTAGGCCAGGTGTCGTGGCGCATGCCTGTAATCTCAGCATTTTGGGAGGCCAGGGTGAGTGGATCATGAGGTTAAGAGGTCGAAACCATCCTGGCTAACATGGTGAAACCCCGTCTCTACTAAAAATACAAAAATTAGCTGGGCATGATGGCGCATGCCTGTAGTCCCAGCTACTTGGAAGCCTAAGGCAGGAGAACTGCTTGACGTTGGGAGGTAGAGGTTGCTGTGAGCTGAGATCACGCCACTGCACTTTAGACTGGGTGACAGAGCGAGACTGTCTCAAAAAAAAAAAAAAGAGAAAAAGAAAAGGCAGTAGGTAGAATTGATGATTGTCTGGTTCCTAAGATTGATTTCAACTTGAGGCTAAAATGTGAAGTGATTGTCCTTGTTCTTACAGCATTGATTCTCGTTGTTGATTGGGTTAAAATACAGATTCTGATTCAGGTCTCAGAAGGGGTCAGAGAGTTTCCACTTCCAGTGGGCTTCCAGAAGATTCTGCTGCTGGTGTTCCTTGGACCATGCTTTGAATAGCAACGAGCTCAGAAATGTTCCACTGTGGCTGCTTGGCTTGTATATATGGCAGAGGAATAATTTTATTTATATTTACAAAGTGGTTTTGACCAAGTTCATTCAAAGATATTGAGGGCCAGCTATGTGCCAGGACTTATGCTACCTGCTGAGAGACGCAGAGATGAACACAAAAGACATTAGCTTACATCTTTATTGAACACTTTGCAGCCTTTATGTCCAACTTGCCGGCTCCTTCTCTGCTGCTGTCTTCTTTGCTAAGCTGTTGGGACACTGTCCTCCCTTGGTTGGTTTGTCCCCTACCTTGTTGGCACTTTACCTTTCAGGCTGGAGTGAAGTGACACGATCATAGCCTTGACCTCCTGAACTCAAGTGGTCCTCCCGCCTCAGCCTCCTGAGTAACTGGGACTACAGGCATGTGCCGCCACGCCTGGCTAATTTTTTAATGTCTGTCTTTTTTTGTAAAGACAGGATGTCCTTATGTTGCCTAAGCTAGTTGTGAACTCTTGGGCTTAAATGATCCTCCTGGCTCAGCTTCCCAAGTGCTGGGATTACAGGCATGAGCCATCACACCTGGCGTGCCTAACTCTTAAATGTTGGTAGGCTCCAGAGTTCTTTTACCACACATGCTCCTTGGACTACCTCTTCACTTTTGGTTTCTGTTATTGCTGTATATCCCAGACCTCCACCTCCAGCCCTTGTTCATCTCATTTGGACCATTGCTCATGCTACCTATTTCCTGCTGTGAAATTTCCCCTTCTCACATCCATCCACTATGCCAACCCCAGAGCAACTAGTTACTCATTTACACTCTTTTTCCCAAAAGGAGCTAAGGCAGCTTTCTCGAGTATAAAAATACCGGATGATATAAAGTAGAATGTAGGAGGAAAAAAAAAAAAAAGAAAACAAGGGCAGTGACCTCAAATGCAGCCTGGAAGTCTTATACTTGATCCAGGCAGGCACTGAATCTACACTGTCCAGCAGCTGGAGCACAAGGACAATTTCCAGCAGTTCTGTAGGGTACGGTATCCACATGAAGACGGCACTTGTGCACAGAAAAAGCCAGCTATTCCAGGACTGGGGCCAGGACCAGACTGATAATGTATGACTGTGATGGACTCAGGGCCGTGCTCTGTCCATGTCATTCATCTCCCATTAAGACAAAGTCCCAGGCCGTTCCCATGGCCCTTAAGGCCCTTCCTCTTCGCCTCGGAGCCTGTCATCTGTGTACCGTCTCCTAACATGAGCTGATATCTTCTTACATAGAAAGGCACTGCACTTTCATGCCTTGCCTTATTTCCTTTTTTTTCTTTCTTTTTTTTGGAGACAAGGTTTCTGTCACCCAGACTGGAGTGCAGTAGCACGATCACATCTCTGCAGCTTTGAACTCCTCCTGGGCTCATAGAAGCACGCACCACCACACCCGGCTAATTTTTGTATTTTTAGTAGAGATGGGGCTTCACCATGTTGGCCAGGCTAGTCTCAAACTCCTGGCCTCAAGTGATTGGCCCACCTTGGCCTCCCAAAGTGCTGGGATTACAGGTGTGAGATACCACACCTGGCCTAATACCTGTTCTTTATGCAAGATTAATGTTTCTTATATAGAGGTTATACTGACTTGGTTCCCTGGGCAGTGTTTATTATGACTTTTCATAGACCTTTGTGAGTATCAGGGACCTGAGCCCTAACAAGCAGCCCACTTTCAATAGGGAAATGCCTTAAGAACTCCAAGCCTTGGACTTAAAATCAACTTCAGAAAGTAAACAGACCAACTTAGATTAGGGATTCCTGCACTGAGCAAAACTGCCAGATACCTGTTTTGTTTTCTCTTGTTCTGCATGTTACCTTCCACAGCATTAAACCCCTGACCTGTGATTGCAGCTCATTCCACATTTGTTGAATGAAATCTGGTCAAGACACTAATACCAGGGCCGGGCGCGGTGGCTCAAGCCTGTAATCCCAACACTTTGGGAGGCCGAGGCGGGTGGATCATGAGGTCAAGAGATCAAGACCATCCTGGTCAGCATGGTGAAACCCCGTCTCTACTAAAAATACAAAAAAATTAGCTGGGCATGGTGGCGCGTGCCTGTAATCCCAGCTACTCAGGAGGCTGAGGTAGGAGAATTGCCTGAACCCAGGAGGCGGAGGTTGCGGTGAGCCGAGATCGCGCCATTGCACTCCAGCCTGGGTAACAAGAGTGAAACTCTGTCTCAAAAAAAAGAAAAAAAAGACACTAATACCTACTTAAACACCAAGCCAACTAATAACAGAGATAATGTGACATATTGTTCTAACATGGCAGAGGCCAGAAGTGCTCACGGTCTGGCTGGTGGCCATGAGGCAAGCCTCTGTGGAAGAGAAATAGATTGGAATGTAATGACTGTAAGCTCCTTCATTCCCCTCTTTGGCTGAGTGTCCAGCTTTGTTTGTCCTGGCTGAAGTCAGGGAGATAACTGCTGGAGCCAAACTAGACCTTTCTGGTATATGGTCCTCAGTTTGAATTATCTTTGGGTTTACCATGACAGCTCTTTCCTTGTGGGTTATTTTGACTTGGGTCTGCCAATTAAAGGTGGCAGCATCCTAGAGAGGCCTCAGGATGCTGAAGATGCCGTGAGAAGACATAAGCATTTCTGCAGGCGCTAGACAATTTTAGTGGCAGTTAGTGTCACAGAGCAGGATGAATGTCCAGAGCCTGAGGGTTGAACCCAGGAGGCAGAGGGGCCAATCCTGACTCCTGGGAAGGAGGCCTAAGATGCTACTGAACTGTTAGGGCTTCTGTGACTACCAAGCTCTGCAACTTGGTGTGTCTTAATGGCCACAATTAGAATCAGATGATGTGGGTTCCCTAAAGCCCCAGAAGTTTTGTGAAAGTTACCTATAGGTCTGTGCACTGATTTAGAGGCATTTTTGGTTCAATGACAGTGTTTCCTTTCTGCCTTCTCTCCAGGTTCCGGGTGGAGTTACACAGTTGTGCCGCCAGTATTGCGAAGCACCCCCTTTGACATTAGAGGGCATCCAGGACCGTGTTCTTTACGTATTGAAACTCTATGACAAGATTGACCCAGAGAAGGTAACTGATGGTGGTTTGAATTTTTGTCTTTAGAGTATTTAATCACATGGTACAAAATGCAAAGGGAAAGATACTCAGTAAAAATCTCCCTGGCTCCCAGCCACCCAGGCCCATTCTGGGAGACAGCCAGCGCTACCAGTTTCATGTGTGTTTCCAGAAATATTCAATGTGTGTATTAAGAAGTACACACGTGTGTGTATATTATATGTAGGTATATCTCACCCTTTTTAAAAAATACAAGTGGGGCTAGGCACGGTGGCTCATGCTTATAATCAATCCCAGGCACTCTGGGAGGCCACGGTGGGTGGATCACAAGGTCAGGAGTTCAAGATCAACTGGCCAAGATGGTGAAACCCTGTCTCTACTAAAAATACAACAATTAGCCGGGTGTGGTGGTATGCACCTGTAATCCCAGCTACCGGGGAGGCTGAGACAGGAGAATTACTTGAACCCAGGAGGCAGAGGTTGCAGTGAGCCGAGGTTGTGCCACTGCACTACAGCCTAGGCAATAGAGTGAGACCTCTGTCTCAAAAACAAACAAACCAAAAAAAACCCCACAGGTGGCAGTATAGTGTAAATTATCCTTGCATTTTTAACTTGGAACTTGTATGATATGGTAGGCTTTTAAAACTTTTTTTTTTTTTTTTGAGATGGAGTTTCACTCTTGTTACCCAGGCTAGAGTGCAATGGTGCGATCTCGGCTCACCACAACCTCTGCCTCCTGGGTTCAGGCAATTCTCCTGCCTCAGCCTCCTGAGTAGCTGGGATTACAGGCACATGCCACCATGCCCAGCTAATTTTTTGTATTTTTTAGTAGGGACGGGGTTTCACCATGTTGACCAGGATGGTCTCGATCTCTTGACCTCGTGATCCACCCACCTCGGCCTCCAAAGTGCTGGGATTATAGGCTTGAGCCACCGTGCCCAGCCCAAAACTTTCTTCTTTAAAAATTGAATCTGGCCGGGTGCAATGGCTCACGCCTGTAATCCCAGCACTTTGGGAAGCCAACACAGGCGGATCACCTGAAGCCTGGAGTTTAAGACCAGCCTGGCCAACATGGTGAAACCCTGTCTCTACTAAAAATACAAAATTAGCTGGGCATGGTGGCAGGCGCTTGTAATCCCAGCTGCTCAGGAGACTGAGGCAGGAGAATTGCTTAAACCTGGGAGGTGGAGGTTGCAGTGAGCCAAGATCGCACCATTGTACTTCATCCTGGGTGACAGAGTGAAACTGTCGAACAACAACAAAAACTGAATCTGTTGTTTAGGTAGGGTAGTTTGTTTTTGATACAGGATTTTGAAGAATCATTCCTGATGATCCTGAGGTCTAAATTAAAGGCGGGGTGGTAGTAAACACTTTGTAACATGAAGCTGCCTGCATTTTATAATAGTCTGCTATTTTTGAGGCAGGCCACTTAAGGTGTGGGGTCTAGGCCTTTAGTTGTCAGTAAGGCAGCAAAAATACCCCAAATTCTTCTGATGTCATTCAGAACAATGATCATAGATCTCAGTAAAACATACAGTTTGGGCTGGGCGTGGTGGCTCACGCCTGTAATCCCAGCATTTTGGGAGGCTGAGGAGGGTGGATCACCTGAGGTCAGGAGTTCAGGACCAGCCTGGCCAAAAAACCCCGTCTCTCCTAAAAATAAAAAAAAAATTAGCTGGGCATGGTGGCATGTGCCTGTAATCCCATCCCAGCTGCTCAGCAGGCTGAGGCACAAGAATCACTTAAACCCAGGAGGCCAAGGTTGCAATGAACCAAGATTGTGCCATTGCACTCCAGCCTGGGATAGAGCAAGACTCTGTCTCAAACAAACAAACAAACAAACAAACCCCATATTCAGTGAAATCCTTCATTAGCTATGTATATATTGTTCACTTCAAAACGAAGTTGAATAAGATAAAGGAAACCATGTATGTACCAGCACAGGTTACGTATATAATGTCAGTTATGGCCTCTGTTTATTAACAATTGGATGTCGTGATTAAGTGGCAATATGCCCCGTTACCTTGGGAAGCAAATGCTTTCATGGGCTAAATTGTGTGTTTGGTGCTCCTTTCTTGCAGCTTTCCGTAAATTCTCATTTTATGAAAGACCTGGGCTTAGACAGTTTGGACCAAGTGGAGATTATCATGGCCATGGAAGACGAATTTGGTAATGCACGCGGGCTCAGTCTCGTATCTACATACTGTGATTTTTGATTTAGGTGGATTAAACTGAAAGAAATGCTGGGAGTCTGAATTGGAATTAGAATTAAGTATTAATAGCAACATCAGCATCCACTGCCCTACCCACACACCTTCCTGCCCACTTACCATCAGGTGAAGTAAGCCTTAGGGATGGTGCATTTATTCAGAAAACACTTAGCACAAGCCCAGCAGAGTGCCCAGTGTGGTGCCAAGAGCCAAATGACCAGAGATGGTTCCAGGGGACTGAATCCAGGGCAAAAGCCTCCCCGGAGTACCTGCTGATGACGCGTCAGCTCCTCATGAGCTTGGGTAACACAAGCCAGATAGAACTAGTGAGGTGTGCCCGGACAACAGACGCCCCGAGAGCCCTCTGGCCCTGGTCTATCATGGCTTACATGCACACCAAGTTTGGGACTGTGTGTTGTGCAAGTGAGACCTTTATAAGGCTCCCTGGCTGTTTCTGGATGAATTGGTTGAATAGGAAATCAAGGGACTTCTGTGCTCTTCTACAGAGCAGGGCCTAGTTAACATTCCTCACAGATGGTGCTGACTAGGATGGAATCCTTTGCCTAGTGCTTGAGTACCAGGTCTAGAATTGAGCTTAGTTAGGTATGAGCCTGGATAAGTAACTATCTCTCAAAGCCTGTTTCCTCAGCTGTAAAGTGGGGGTGATCACAGTAGGAACCCCAGGATTTGGATTGCTGGGGAATTAGAGGTTATGTGTAAAATGCTCAACACAGTGTTTGGCCCAAAGTAAGCTAACTATCAAAACCCAGCCATTTATAAAAAACCAACCATCATTAAAAAAAATTCATGTGTGACATGTGTTACAACACAGTGAACCTGAGAATGCTGAGTGAAAGAAGCCAGACACAGAGTTATAAACTGTTTACGTGAAATGTCAGGAAGAGGCAGATCCAGAGACAGAAAGTAGACTAGTGGTTGCCAGGGGTAGGGAGGATGGGGAGTGACTGCTGATGGGCACTGGGTTTCTTTTTGGGTGATGAAATGTTCTAGAGTTAGACAATGGTGATAGTTGCACAATGTTGTGAACATACTAAAAACTACATATATACATAGAATTTTCTATTATGTAAATTCTATCTCAGACAAACAAACACCTCTGAAACATGGTATCCAACCTGTATGCACACTGTCTAGAACCTAACTGGCTCACAACCTAAACGGGATTCCAGGTTGCTGAATTTTTTTACATACTTGTAGGTGTTGTAGAAGGGTCAGGTGCTTTCAGTTCTAAAGGATGTTTTTTTTTTTTGTTTTTTTTTTAACTCTCTCACATTGTATATTTTTCTTTTAGGGTTTGAAATTCCTGATTTAGATGCAGAAAAGTTAATGTGTCCACAAGAAATTGTAGATTACATTGCAGATAAGAAGGATGTATATGAATAAAGTATCAGGTAAATAATTAGACTTATAAAAATGTTGTTCACCCATAGATTTAATCTGTCGGTGGTTCTTCAATAAAGGAAAGTCAAGAAGAAATAGAAAATGGAAATGCTTGACCGAGATTTTTCACTACTTAGAAAATGCAAGGCCTTTTCTGTTGTCTGCCACTCAAAGGGGCCCAGCCCTGGTGGTGATCTTTATCTGTGAGAGGTTGAGAGCTGTCATTCCTAGACAGGACTCCCTTGATTGTCAGCTCTCCTAACAAAAGCAGTCTTATACAAAGTACTGAGCAGGGTAACGGGGAAACCTCGGTCTCCCTCAGTAACTCACCCAAGGCAAGCCCAGCCTGCTGGTGACCTGGCTCTCAGGCAAGAGAGGCCTCACAGATAAGAGGATGGACTTTGGAGTCAGAGACATGCAAGTTTATTCTCATCTCTGCCACTCTCTGTAAGTCTGGTGGTCTCAAGTAGGCTGCTTAGCTCTGTAAGCCTGTTTCCTCATATATAATCTGGGGGTAATAATAGGACCTACCTGGGGCTTTTTTGAAGGCAAAATTGAAGAGAGTATGTATATAGCTTAATACAATGATTAAGCCTCTCAGTAAACAGTAACTCTTGTTACTTAGGTTCTAGAATAATCAATTAAGACTTTTTGAATTAAAAGTTGTATTAGTGTCTTTAGCTTTTAGTGACTACTTTTTTTTTTTTTTTTTTTTTTTAAAAAAAGACAGAATCTTGTTCTGTTGCCCAGGCTGGAGCGCAGCAGCATGATCTTGGTTCACTGCAACCTCTGCCTCCTGGGTTCAAGCAGTTTCCTGCCTCAGCCTCCTGAATAGCTGGGATTACAGGTGTGTACCACCACACCCAGCTAATTTTTGTATTTTTAGTAGAAATGGGGTTTCACCATGTTGGCAAGGCTGGTCTTGAACTTCTGACCTAGGTGATCTGCCCACCTTGGCCTCTCAGAGTGCTGAGATTATAGTCATGAGCCACTGCGGTCAGCCAGATGAATTTTTAGCACCCGAAAGATGTCATTTACCATTAGTAAGAAGACACCAAAAATAACATTGAACTTTGTCTTTTCCAGGCCCTTTAGCTTTGTTGAGAGAGGACACAGATGATACTGATGAATGTCTGGCAGTGAGGACACAGTTCAGCATTTTTGCTGGCTCTGACAGAGTAATTCTGAGGGACTTGTATTTAAATTGTGTAAGTGTTTTTCTCTTTGAAAATAAATCTATAAAACCAACATTTTCCTCAGTCTTCAGTTTTTCAGTGATGTCTATAAAGTGCTTTTTTGTATTGCCATTGCTTACTATTTGTAAAGGCCTGTCTCATTTGTATTCATGCATGTCAAAAACAGTGGCTTCTCCAGCAGTGTACTTGAAGTAAGGCTGTCTTCCCCACCTTCGTGTCAGGAGTAAATACATTCATGGAAAAGGACTTTTTGTTTCAAAAACATTTTTTTTTTAGCTTTCATTAGGTTATTACCAGATGTGTCAGCTGATGTCAGCATGTGGGACTACTTTTTCATCCCTGTCCTAAAGATCCCTTTCCAAATTAATAGAATGTAACAGTTCTGGAGAATGGAGGCTCTCTTTCCTCCTGGAAGGTCAGTTTAACACTGTGTCTCTTTGTCACACATCGAGTATCAGTTCCGCCCCTTTTACTCTTAGCACTGTGTTGATTCCTTGGGGTTGATGTAAATAACATGTACAAATTGCCTAACTCTTCATGAGGCTTAGTTTGAGAGTTACATCAAAATAATTGCTCTCTTACTGGTATTTCTAGTTTTGGGAGGGAAGAGGAACAAAAGGCCTGTAGTAAGTGTCTTCAAGGCAGAGGAACTAAGGTAAGGGGCCCTCAGCCAGCAGAGAATCTAATGGCTGAGGGATGAGGTGGTCGAAGGATGGGAGTCAGTTCTGGGATTCAGTCCACACTCACATCTGCTTCCCTTCCTGCAGGTACTAATAGGCTGGTTCCTTCTGGGTTGCTCTAGAGTTATTCCAGGCATGTTATATATATATATATTTTAGCATTTAGGTTCAAGCATTAGGTTCAAATGTGCTGGTTTGTTATAGGTAAATTGTGTGTCATGGGGTTTGGTGTACAGATTATTTTGTCCCCCAGGTAATAAGTATAGTACCCGATGAGTTTTTTGAGATGGAGTTTCACTCTTGTTGCCCAGGTGGAATGCAGTGGCATAATCTCAGTTCAATGCAACCCTCACCTCCCAAGTCCAAGTGACTCTCCTGCCTCAGCCTCCCAAATAGCTGAGATGGGATTACAGCACCCACCACCACGCCCAGCTGATTTTTTGTATTTTTAGTTGAGACAGGGTTTCACCATGTTGGCCAGGCTGATCTTGAACTCCTAACCTCAGGTGATCCGCCCACCTCATCCTCCCAAAGTGCTGAAATTTCAGGCATGTGCCACAGCACCCAGCCCTGCTGGGTATTTTTTGGATCCTCATCCTCTGCCCACCCTCCAGTAAGCCCCAGTGCCTACTGTTCCCTTCTTCCATGTTTACTCAATGTTTTGCTCCCACTTACAAGTCAGAACATGGTATTTGGTTTTCTGTTCCTGTGTTCATTTAGGATACAGCCGCATCCGTGTTGCTGCAAAGGACATGATCTCATTCTTGTTTATAGCTGCATAGTATTCCATGGGGGGGGTGTGGGCATGTGTGTGCATGCAAGAGCATGCATGTACACATTTTCCTTTTTTTTTTTTTTTTGAGATGGAGTGTTGCTTTGTTGCCAGGCTGGAGTGCAGTGGCATGATCTCAGCTCACTGCAACCTCCACCTTTCAGGTTCAAGCCATTCTCCTGCCTCAGCCTCCTGAGTAGCTGGATTACAGGTGTCTGCCACCACGCCCAGATAATTGTTTTCTATTTTTAGTAGAGATGGGGTTTCAGGGTTTCACCATGTTGGCCAGGCTGGTTTCAAACTCCTGACCTCAAGTGATGCGCCTGTCTCGGTCTCCTGAAGTGCTCGGATTACAGGCGAGAGCCACTGTGCCCAGCCTACACACTTTTTTTTTTTTAAATCCAGTTTACAGTTGATGGGCATTTAGGTTGATTCCATGTCTTTGCTATTGTGAATAGTGCTGCAGTGAACATTGGAATCCATGTGCCTTTATAGAATGTATAGAATGATTTATATTCCTTTATGTATACCCATTCATGGGATTGCTGGGTCAAATGCAAACCTCTTTTTCTTTTGAGACATTCACTCTGTTACCCAGTCTGAGTGCAGTGGCACGATCATGGTTCACCACAGCCTCCTCAACCCCCCCAGGCTTAGGCCATCCTCCTGCCTCAACCTCCCAAGTAGGCACACCACTGCTAATTTTTAAAGTTATTTGTAGAGATGGGATCTCACTGTGTTACCCAGACTGGTCTTGAACTCCTGGGCTCAAAAGATCCTGCTGCCTCCACTTCCCAAAGTGCTGGGATTACAGGTGTGAGGTCCTGGGCCCAGTAATAGAAATATACTAAAACTAATACTATTTTTAGAAATAGAAAGCATATTCTTTTCACTCATAAAAATCATACACTGTTACCCTAGGCCTTTTCTCTTTTTTTCAATACTTAGCAACGTATCTTGGAAAACTGCCAAATTGGAGGATAAGGCACTTACTCTTTTTTTACAACTGCATTTATTTAACAATAGCTTGAGGCCAGGCATGGTGACTCACACCTGTAATCCCAGCACTCTGGGAGTGGGTCAGATCACCTGAGGTCGGGAGTTTGAGACCAGCCTGACCAACACAAAGAAACCCATCTTAAAAAAAAAAAAAAAAGCTTGAGCACTTACTAGACGCTGGTGATCCAATAGGGAATAAACAGGCTGTGTGTCATTTCTTTGATTGGAACGTCTGTAGTTTTTAACACTGGGGGTATTTTGGTGATAGTCCCCAAGTCGTTCTGTTTAAAATCCCGTGACAGCTGTACATTTTGCCAGAAAACGCGTCTGTGATTGTGTCTGCCTAAGATCACAAAGTCTGACTGTACTGCCACTTGAGTGTCTGCTTTGCTACTATCTTCACCAGACGCCTGCAGTGAAACAGCCCATTCATATCATCCAGTAGCCACTGTAAGCCCCAAAGCAGCCAGAATGAGGGAGGACATTTATTGGATCTCACACACAGAGATCATTCATCCCCAAGGCCATTTAGGGTCTGGTTGTTGAAACAAAAGCGAAAGCCTTTCTGTTCTTTCTGCTCTAAGAGCTTATCATCAGAATGTTTTTTTTTGAGATGGGAGTTTCACTCTTGTTGCCCAGGGTGGAGTGCAATGGCACAATCTTGGCTCACTGCAACCTCCGCCACCCGGGTTCAAGTGATTATCCTGCCTCAGCCTCCTCACTAGCTGAGATTACAGGCATGGGCCACCACGCCTGGCTAATTTTGTATTCTTTTAAGTAGGACAGGGTTTCACCATGTTGGCCAACCTGGTTTTGAACTACTGACCTCAGGTGATCCACCCACCTTGGCCTCCCAAAGTGCTGGGATTACAGGTGTGAGCCACTGCACCCAGCCACAATGTTCTTTTGAAACTTCTGTGCCACTATAGGTAGGCAGCAAACTGGCCAAATGTAGCATTAAGCATGTGTGAATTCAAGAACAGGGTAAATGGAATTGTATGCATATGGTGTTTAATAGCTGCCGAAAACCTCTGAGGATCTGTGCCTCTGTTGTACACCATTCCCGCTGGGAAAGGGTGGCTTGTGAAGCCTGTCATGACCTGGTCCCAGCCCTAGCTCCAGCCATCCCCACCATATCTCCAGTGGAGCTGCTTCAGTCTTCTGTGTCCCCCAAATAGCGAGTGCACTCATTCACTCCACACAATGAAGTACCCACTCTGGGTTAAGCATTCCTGGAGCCTGAGTACAGTTTCACACCATGCAGTTTGTCTCCCATTTCCAGGAGCTCACCACCTTGTAAGGGAGACCGGTACAACCCAGGCAGAGGTATCACACTCAGTATCACCAATGACACAAGCTAACCACCTATGCTGCCCCTGATGGGAAGCAATGAGGTTGTGTCACCTCCGAGGCACCCTCGCTAAACTCATTTAACTTGAATCTGATTATGAGGAAACAAATCTAGAGGGTGGGAGAGTTTATAAGGCCTGGACTTTGTAAAGAGTCATGGGAGGCCCAGCACAGTGAATCATACCTGTTTTGTTAATCCCAATGCTTTGAGGCCAGGAGTTCGATACCAGCCTGGGCAATACCGTGAGACCCTGTCTCTACAAAAAAAACCTTAAAAAATAGCTGAGTGTGGAGTCACATGCCTACAGCCCCAGCTAGTCCCGTATTTGGAGGCTGGAATAAAAAGAGATGGACTGGCAAGAGATTCTGGGAATAAAATGGCAGAACCTGGGAGGCTGGGTGGGAAGATCATTTGAGCCAGGGAATTAGAGGCCGCAGTGAGCTATGATTGCACCATGGCACTGCAGCCAATACAACAAAGGGGGACCCTGTCTCTAAAGGAGTTGAAAAATAAATAGGCCGCGTACAGTGGCTCATGCCTATAATCCCAGCACTCTGGGAGGCCAACGTGAGCAGATCGTCTGAGGTCCGGAGTTCAAGACTAGCCTGACCAACATGGTGAAACCTGGTGTCTACTAAAAACATAAAAATTAGCCAGGCATGGGGGCAGGTGCCTGTAATCCCAACTACTTGGGAGGTTGGGGCAGAATTGCTTGAACCCAGGAGGCAGAGGTTGCAGTGGGCCAAGATCATGACGCTGCACTCCAGCCTGGGCAACAGAGCAAAACTCCATCTCAAAATAATAAATAAAATAAATAGCAGAATCTGATCAGTTGTACATAGGATACCTCTCAAGCTACCAGTACTGGGTGAGATGTTGTCTAAAGCAGGGACCAGCTAAGGATGGGACTTGGTACATTGAATTTGAGGTGTGGGATACCCCAGCAGGCAACAGATAATAAGCAAAAGAGCTCAAGAAAAATGTCAGGCTTGAAGTCTGAGTGCTGGTGAGGCGCTTCCCCAGTGCTGGCTCCTTCCTGCTAAGTTCCCACTGAGGAGTCCCCTCACAGCACTCTTGGAAGTGGTTTAAGTGGGAATGACTGGCCTTCTGCTCCCTGGGATGCACACTTAAGTACTTAAGCCTAATGGGAATTCTGCTTCTTCAGGGATGATTTGGTGCTGGGGCTGGGAAGCTAGGAGAACTGACTGAAAGACTTACCTATCACCTGCTATTTATTAAGTGCATGTGCT